AACACCATACAGAGCACGACAATTTTCTTATTAAATCAATTATTTTTCTTTAATATTAAAAAAAGTTTAAATTTTTTTTAATAAAATTAAATCAAATAATTTTTTAATTTCATATTAATAATACCTATAAGCTTTTCTTAAAAGTTATTATACTCTTCTTATTTATAATTATTAATAAATCATCATAGTTATAAAAAAATCATTTAATTTAATACATAAAAGCTAGTAATTTAACTTAAAAAATTATTGCTATCAAAGTCTTCCTTTTAAAATAAAGGGTTAGTGAATATCTTTATAATGATAAAATATTTATTAAGTTATAAAATTGACTTAAAAGTTTTTAGAATAAGTTTAAATTTAGTGAATTTAATTCATTATAAAAAAACGGTTTAATGCTAATATTATATTTGATTATGATAAGTAAATTATAAATTTTATAATATAAATAAATAACTAATAATCATTAATCTTATAAATAATTAAAATAAATAAAGTATTTGATAAAATTCATTTATAAATAAAAGTTTCTTTTATAATAATGTTTAATAAAATAATTAAAAACTAAAACTAGAAATTTTTATTACAAAAAATGATGTAATTGTTTTTATTGAAGTATATTTTTAACTTTATCTATTAACTTCTTAGTTTCTTCTGAAAGTGTACTAGATTCAGAACCAAATTTCTTCATAACACAAGTTAAAGCATTTAAAAATCCTTGTGAATGGACTACAATAACACTATTATCCATAATCACGCTGTTTAATCCATTAAAAATTTTGTAAGTTATTAATATAGAAACAAACAAAACAACAAAATAAGATCCTAAAATTATACCAATCCAAAAGTTAAACGTTTTCCTAATATCAGTAAAATTTTCATCTTCATTGTTTTTAATTTCTCTAATTACTTCAGAGTATTCTTCATTTATAGGTTCACCGTTAACATATGATTGTTGTTTATTATCTTTCATTTTAAAGGAGTGTATATTATTTTTATTTTCCTTATAAATTTAAAAATAACAAATAATAATTAATATTTGTAATTTCATTATATTAAACGTATTTATATAGAAATTTTTAAAAGAATTTATTTAAATATTATAAATAAATTATTGACTACTCGATGGTAAAACTTGTTCAGGTGTTATAACATCTATACTTTTAGATAAAATTTTTTTAACATCATCAATTAAAGTTTTTAATTTCTCTTCATCATAGTTCATTATTTTGCTAACTAATTCTATAATTTCATTAAAAACATTTCTAAATTCTATTGAACGTTCTACAACTACTTTAGCTTTCTTAGAAATCTTTTCAATTTTATAAAAACTTATTAAGAGAAATAAAATAATAAAACATAATGTAATAAAATTAATAAATAATATTATTTTAAACCAATAAATAAAATAATTCTTTATATTAGTTGAATTAGAATTACTTTTATTTAATACTTCACAATTATCTTCTTTATTAAAATTGTAAGTAACATTTGATTGTTTATTATTTTTCATTAAAAGGAGAATTCTTTATTTGTTTAAAAAGTAATAAAGGAGTATAAATTTAATATTTTTATTAATATTTTTCTTCTAAAGCATCAGCTTCTTTCTTAACAATTTCATAATTCAATACAGGAATGTCATTATAAATCATATTATCATAAATTGTATTCTTTAATAAAATTAATGATTGAATATCTTTATTAGAAGAATTATTAATTTGACATTTTGATGTGATTAAAACTCCATCCTCAATACAACCACAAATAATACCATCCTTAATACACTCTCTAATAAGATATTCAATATTATACTTTAACAACTTACTAATATCATCAATTTTAATTCTTAAGTAACAAAGTGAAATAGATTTAATACCCTGAATTAGAGTATTTGATAACAATCTTTTAATAATAAAATAAACACGATCATTAATAAATTCATTTTTCTTGGTATCTAACAATCTATTCAATTCATCAATATTACCACTACTAACATAATTAATTAACTCAGCATAACTATTAAGACTGTCATCAGATATTTTAATATTAAAGTTATTTTTTAAAACATTAATCAATATTTTATACTTATTAATTTTTAATAACAACTCATCATTATCTTTAATAAAGATTTCAGACTCATTGAAATTATAAAGACTTTCATCTAAATTATTCAATATTAAGTTTATATACCCAATATAGAAATAATAATAAGAATTAATATCATTACTATCAGTCTCTACCCAATCTATGGTCTTATAAATATTATTATTTATATTATAATCTAATATACAGTTAACTAATTGACCCTTCATATACAATCTACTATTAAACAACTCTCTATATAACTCATCTATATCAACATTATTATTAATCTTATCAACTAAATATTTATACTTAATAACAAAGCTTTCAATAAAATTAGAATTTGGTCTATTAACAGTTTCAACCATGTCTTCTATTTCACTAAACATTCCCTCCTTATAAAAGACACCCAATACTAGAGGAATACATTCTATATTTAAATCAATAATTTCATCTATAGTTAAATTACTAGTAAGAAGATTTAAACTGTTATTAAATAGTATTTTATAATCAACATTAGTTTTATCTAGATACTCCTTTAATTCTGATTTAGTACCAATTCTCATTAAAAATTAGGGGTTAAAATAATTAAAATAAAAATAAACAGATGATAATAATATATGGAATAGTTATAGCATTACTAATTATAGTGATAGGATTAAAGTTAATAAAACATTTAGATAGAAATAAGAAAGTAAATAAAGAGAATAAAGTTTATTTTGTAGGCAAGAGATCTACTGGTAAGACAAGAGCTATTATTGATATTATTGAGAAACAAAGACACTCTGATTTGGCTATTAAGCCCAGAGAAACAGTACCAACTACCAAAGATACTGAGTATAAATCACAAGACATTAAAATTAACAATTTAAAGTTGTGTGAGTACACACCAAATATTAATGAGCCTGATACTCTTAATAGATTCAGAATCAATACAAGAGATACTTTTATATTCTTTTTGAGAGATCAAAATGAATTTTATCCAATGTTAGCTGGATTTGATATTAAATATGTTTATTGGAAAAAAACAGAAAATAAAGAAAGAGATGATGTAACTTATTTAGATGAAGATTCTACAAAGTTATTAGAAATGATTTATAAAATTAGAAAATAAAAGTTTTTTAAAAAAGTTTTTACA